GGCCTCTGTCTGATTAACCGCCACCGAAATCAACACCCGAAAAGTCGAAAGGCCGAGCCCCCTCGATGTCTTTAACCAGCTCCAACCTGCCGCAACAAATTAACCGTGGTTTGTTTTGCAGGATTCGCCCGTTTTGGCGGAAATGATGGAAGAGGCGACGGGAGCGGGCGGGTACCGATGGGAGGATGAGGAGCAGCCGGCCCCGAGCCGGCTCTGCGCCCAGCGAGGAGGCAGCGAGGAGCGGGCACGTCCCCGTGACGATCCCTATGCCGAGGCGTCCCTCGTTTTGGGGGCGCCGCCGGCTTTTCCTCCGTTTTCCGAGGATCGGAGGGGAAGCAGGAGGTTGGTAATGAGAAGGAAGGTGCTGAGGCGCAGACCCGACGGAGGAGTGGAGGTTTCCGACGAGTCGGTGAGCAGCGAGACGGAGAGCGACGCCGAGGTTTGGAGCCTGAGGCAGAAAATGCTTCAGCTAAGGACCGATCCCAACGACGGCATCTCCGAAGGGGAAATCGAGACGAGCGGCAGCTCCCTCGAGGAATCCCCTTACCAGTGGATCCTCGGGGATTTCGGGAGCCGGAGCTCTCCCGTTTCTCACTACACCGCTGCGGCGGGACAACCCAAATCCTTCATTCCTCCGCGGTTCGAGCCGCTGGGCCGTAACCGGGGTAAAACCGACCGAGTGGCCAAATATTTTGAATATAAACGAGAATGGGAAAAATTCCGAATCCCGGGAGAGGATCAGCGGCAAGAACTGCGCTGGAGCATCCGGGAACAGATGCTCTGCAAGCCCGAGATCCCCAGCAAGCCCCAGCACCTCTACGTCCCCAACCCTTACGCCGTGCCGACCGAAAAAAAGAGAGCTGCCCTGCGCTGGGAAGTGCGCTGGGATCTGGCCAAGGGCCTCATCCCCAGAAAAAACACCTCCTAATTCCCCCAAAACCATCATCTTTTCACCGCGCGCGCCGTCGTTTTTCTCCCCCCCTCCTCGATAATTTGGGAAAAATCCCCTTTTTGCGTTACAAGTGGGTTAAATTCTGGATTTTTTTTTTTGTTTTTGTTTTAAATCCCGGGTTGTTAACATCTCTGCTTCTCTCCCGCACCCTGCGAAGCTTCTTTCCGACTTAAAAATTGGAAGGGGCAGGGAGTCGGCATGGTTTTTTTTTTTTTTTTTTGGGAGAAAGGGGAGGAGGACGAGCCTGGCGGTTTTCGGCGGGGCCGCGCCGGCCGTCGAGGCGGGTTTATTTGCGGCGGGATCTTTAATAAAGGGGCTGGGAGGAGTCGTCGTGGTTGGGCGGATTGGTTCAGTGGGGTCTCTGCCTCCCCAAAAAAACCCCGTGGGGTGGGGGGTGTCTCTGCCCCCCAGGGACCCCAACCACCCCGTTGGGGGGGGGGGCCCCGGACTGACCCCAGGGATCCCCCCCCCCCCAAAACCCCAGGGGGG